GTTTCGTTTATTTCTTATAAATGGAAGGCCTTGTCCACACAGAGATAGGTTTATGGAACTTAACTTTCGCGCAAAGTTCCGTAAACTTTTGCTAGTAGTGTTGACAAGGACACTCGCAAAAAAATGTGTCCAACACGAGTAAACACGTCTTATGCACCCCTCCAACTCTGGTACGTTCACTCAATTGTTTTTATTGATGTTTCGAAACGAATGAGAAGGGGGCGGCAAAATACAGGTGAGCCATGGGCGGCAAGTAAGTAAATCCGGCCCTGTACCACATCAGGGATTCGCGATTTAGGTAATCTCCCTAGAAATTAGTGTTGGTTATCACTGATGAAGCACCCGAAACCGGTGTAGATAAGTCATTTATGTAAGTGGAAGTCATAAGTTCAAATTGAATTTTTTCTGTTTATGAAAATTGGATGGATTTAACCGGGCTCATCCGGCTGATTATTCAAATTGATCGACAAAGCCATAGACAAATACGCCATTGTGAGAATAGAGCGATCCTATTGGTGGAAGCGTGTGGTTGCAATGGACAGAGGAGGTAAGTAATAGACTAATTAACGGCAACCAACGAGAGACCATCTAGTTAGTCCATCATTTTCCCCCTTAGTTATCAGTCCATAACAACCACCCGTCTCAACCAATAGGATCGCTCCATGTTCCCTGTGTCTTCTTAGTCTGTCAATTTTAAAAATCAGCCGCAGACCACAAAAAACGCTGTCGAATTTCCTCATATGTTTTATTTTTTCAACAGAAAACTTGTCCACAATTTATATTGAAATTTCGCCAGTTTCTTCTTCTTAATCTAGAGAAAACCCCACAGAAAGTTCAAAGCGTCATGTTCGGTTCGCGGTCGACAAAATAAAACTGAAGAGGGAATTTAGCACTTTTAATTAGGCTGATTTCTTCAGGTCCGTCCAATTTACTTTCGGAGATCCTTCATTTGCTTGTGAGTCACGAGGAAAGAAGGAAAGTTAGATTTTTCATCAAGCATTCTCAGTTTGTTTCTTAGTATTATCTCATTCTAACTAGAACACAAATAAATGCAAATGGACGTATTTCCGCCAAACGGAAGCATGTTCATTATGGCGTGAGCCCTGAAATGCATATCGACGGTGAAACTACCAAACCACGTATCTCGGTTTGCGACGTCGCAGACTTCCTGTCATACTTTATTTTTTAAATGAAAAGCTACTTAACGTCCAGTCTTGAAAATTTCCGTGATTTTTCCTCTTCGTGCGGAGAAAATTCTGTGAAAATTTCAAGGAATGATATTGATTTGGTCTACTTCAAAAAAATAAAATGTGAGCGGAGATTTTTAAACACCGCAAACGAGATACGTGGTTTGGTAGTTTCACCGTCGATATGCTCTTATGGATCTTGGGGCTCATGCCTTAATGCACATAGTTCCGTTTGACAGAAATACGTTCAAATGAGGTAACGTCCCTCTTGGGTATTTGGATTAGTTGACAAGGCGATCAAGAAAATGTGGAAAAATATTATTCTTTCCTCTTGGAGGCCTCGAAGCCGTGTTGAAACACGAAGATAACCTGCTCAAAATAATTCATAAAGAGTATCTAATGATCGCTGAAATTTATATTATCCCCATAAAAGTTCTTGAAAAGTGTGCATTTTACTTATTTTGAGGCGGCGACTTTTCATGTTTAATCTTTCGTTGCCTACCTGACATAAGGGCGTAACTACACTCTGACATGAACCCTGTCCTCCATACAATTCAGTGTTTTTCAGGGCTCATCTCAATGTGTAGTTACGCCCTTATGTCATCCAAGCGATGTCGTCTCCTACGTGACATAAGGGCGTAACTACACTCTGACATGAACCCTGTCTTCCATACAATTCAATGCTTTTCCGGGCTTATCTCAATGTGTAGTTACGCCCTTATGTCAGACAAGCGACGAATGTGTTCGTCCTAACTGTGTTGGTTACATATAAAATCAAATCAGGCAACGAGGGATCCTTTGCTTTTCTAAAAATGGTCGAGATGAATGTAAGGCATGCATGACAGAAAAGGTTCAAAGGGAGGGTTGACTGTTTTGATTAAAATTTAATGTATTACCATTGAAGTGTACATACCTGGTGCAACAGGCCTTAATTCTCTTTCAAGAAAATTCCGTCTTGCTATAGCTGACCCGGATAAACCAGGGGATAAACCTTTTAATTTGCCTCTGCCAAAGGCTCCTATTTTTCCTGTGTGCGATAACTTCGCTACGGCCAGGCGGCGCGAGATAAATGTGAATAACGAATTAGCGCTGAAATATGTGATATTCTAACAAAGCTTTCGAGTAACTTCCCGATTTTTTCGATAGAAATATTTTGATGGCAGATGAAGGACATTTCCTGGCCGACTAACTCTCTATCTAACTCTAACTCTCTCTCGCTGACTCAAAACCGACGAAAATTGAGATAAATGGTTTGGTATAGTTTCACCATCGATATATATGTATAGTACTAGGGGCCTGTGGCCCCTACGCGACCGCCAACTACTGAAAGAAAACTACACGTAAAAAGTCGTAACAAGCATGTTCAAGTTCTTTAAGAAATGAATGGATTCAAATGCCGACGGGTGCAGCGGTGCATGCAAAAGAAAGCGCTTTTATCTGTGATTGCAACGTTAAGCACATTTTTTGTTCTCTTTTTAATCAACGTTTTTAAAAAGCTACGCACAGTTTTCTGAAGAGTTTCTGAAAATTTTCCTAAATGATTTAAAATAAATAAAAAAAGAAAAAAATCAACGCGACATTTTTGTCCGTTCGAATCCTTTTCTTTTTAAATCAGAAAAAAATTTCACACCGCCCGAGTTTCTAAATGGTAATATTTCTCCCGTAATAATCGTAAAATCAGGGAAAAAGGCAAGAATAATGACGAGTATTCTTCGACTTAAATGTCGCGCGAGCCAGGGAAGGGAACGCGGAGGTGTCATCGTCGCAGTGTGGCGCTCTTTCAATCCGGCTAGCGGCAACATCCCTACACCCGTGCTCGAATAGTTATCTCATAACGCCTGCCGTGAATGAATTCTAGTATAGACGCAAAAAAAACCGTATTTATCAAGCGTTATTTATACGCGTAAGCGTATCAAATGCTGATTGCAATGTTACACGCAACCTTTCATGTTTACTGTGTTTCAGGCTTTTTTTTTTTTTTTTTTTTTTTTTTTTTTTTTTTTTTTAACTACAGACAGTTCCTCTGACGAATTTCCGGGAATTTTCCGGAATGCTCGAAAATAAAATCACAAAAAGTTTCGACGGCATATTTTTGCTTATTGTATTTTCTTCATTTTTTCCACCGACTAAAAATATTAAAAATGGTCCGAGTTTCTGAATCGTTGCAAGTAATATAAATATATTTTCCCTTTAAGTATTGTAAAAACCAGGCAGAAAGTGAAGAGTAATGACGCGGAATCCTAGTTCGCCGGTAACATGAGCATCGAACTAGCCAGGTTAGCGGTCATGTCATCTTCGCAGTATGAATCGCCTTCAATCCGGCTAGCGGCAATATGCCTACACCCGTGGTCGAATAGTTATCTCATTACGCCTGCCGTTACGCCTGCACAAAAAAGCGTATTTTTCACCGATCGCAACGTCAAGCGCCACTTCTCATGTTCTATTTTATTCCAGTGTTTTTGAAGAAACTATGTATACGCAGTTTGTCTGAAGAGTTTCTAGAGAATTCTCGGAGTCACCCCAAATAAAGTCATCAAAAATTTCGACGCTATATTTCCGTTAGTTCTATTTCCTTTTTATGAGATGTAAAGCCCTCACCCAAGGGTATTTCCAAGACGGAAACTTCCCGGGCAGCCGAGTCATGCCGAAAAAGATCGCACAAAAAAAAAACGAAAAACCGCGTATCTCTCCGCGGGACGAGCGAGAAATCTGAACTGCACTTTGCAATTTGGAACTATAAATTCTGGCTCTTCTGGAAAAACACTTATGTGCATAAGGAAACTAATGGCACATACGTTGTTTTTGAGCCAGGCTAGAATTTATAGTTCCAAATTGCAAAATGTAGTCCATCTGGTCTTCCGAAGGGTGCAAGGGGCGCGGGGCCCGCCGCCCGATCCATCTATTTTTCTCGCTATCGGGGGTTGGGGACCCGGATCAGCCCGGCGCACAGTGGAACGAGTCTTTGGAGGAAGTCGGCTATGAAATTTTTGACAAAATTGTAAAATGTTACGTTTATCTCGTCACAATTTTAATTTTAAGGGGTGCTCCTTGAAGAGAATTTAACGAGAAATCCAATGAGAATACTTTTAAAACATCGACATTTTATATCATCGAGGATATACGCTTTTAAAGTTTTTAAATCATGTCCGACCTCTCTAATTGACTAGTTGACGCTAGTTGATTCGATCCGCGGCACAGTGAATCGAGTCAGTTAGAGACGTCGGACATAAAATGTTTGACTAAAACTGCAAATTTAGATGCTTATTTCGTCACATTTGGACGTGTTTCCGTCAAACGGAACTAAGCGCCACTGGGGAAGGAAGGTAGAGGGGGGCTTGGATTGGCGGCGGAACCGGGCGTCGGGCTCATTCCGTCCTATACTCGCAATGCTTTTCCATGGCGCTTAGTTCCGTTTGACAGAACCCGCTATCCGGCATTCTAATTTCCTCAAAAGGAACTCAAATTGGCGCTTAGTTCCGTTTGACAGAAATACGTCCATTTTATACGTCAAGGGATACTTGTAGTAAAAAATTGTGCGAGGAAACCAATGAAACCATTTTTAGAACCTCCAAGTTTTGCATAAACGGAGTTATAAGCGTTTGAAGTTTCCAAATTTTGTCCGACCTCCCCTATTGACTCGATCCACCGTGCGCCGGTTTGCGGTTCTTAAGAAAGGGGAATGGTTTCTTCATGTTATTGGAATAATATTCATTGCACTTTCTGACGGATTGTGCTCCTTGTTCTCATATAAATCATTCTCTCAAAATTAATTAAGCCTCTCTACATTTTCGCTTTCTATGTGTTATGTTTCAGTTCCTGATCATGTGCGGCCTAGGGTATGCTCCTTGCCCGAAAAACCTTACAACCCAAGGGCAGGGGACGAACTGTATAGACTGCGTACCTTTAGTATTACCCATAAAGGAAGTGTCGTTAACTGCGGCGACAGTATAATTAGCAGAAGATCTCGGAGCAATACAAGTGTTAATTCCACTACCTCGCGGTGAGTTGGCCCCATTCAAGTAAGATAAGCCTATTTACTTTTGAAGTTTTGGAAGAAAATGCTTTCCCGGAAATTGATTGTTACATACTGAGGGTATGCTTAAATCTCTTAACAAATTTGCACATCATAATATGTATCCTAACGTTAAAATCTTCATGAAATATTTTATTGAGTTCAAAAAAATGAATCTTTGAGATTTATATGGTATCTTATCTTCTTGCATTTTTCAAAAGTAGTTAATGCGGCACCAAAGTCTACGTCTTAAATGTCTGTGCGAAGATTGTATAATCCTGTCCACTTCCCTGGGAAAATCAGTATTTTATCTATGGTCTACCTATTTCTGCCGTTTTTTGATCTTCGTATCCTTTTTATTTATTCCTTAATTTTCATTTTTCGTCACATATATCGATGGACAAAGTGAGGGAACCGCTTATCTTCGCATGTGACTCTGCAACATACATGTCATACTTTCCTTTTTATTTAGAAAACTAAATGTAGTTTTTTTAGAATCCCCTGGTTTCCTTTCTCTGTTATACCAGAATATTCCATGCAAATGTTAAGCCATCAAGGTGGCTTGTTCCTCTGTAAAAGAATGAAATTCGAGCGGAAATGTTGAAACACCACAAGGTTTCGCTCTTTGCTCATCGATATGATTGTGAAAAAGATCTCTTAATCTCCTCTTGTCTATTAAATGTACACCTTGATTTGATTTCAGGCACAGCCATCACAGTAACGCGAGTGGAGCAAGTCCGTTCGAGGGTTCTTGCTGTGGAAGTAGCTACAATAATATAAGCACCGATTCCACAGGCGAGGAAGTCCCCAAGTATCGAGTCGTGCTCTTTGGGGACACCGGAGTCGGGAAAACTGCCCTCGTTTCGCAGTTTATGACGTCAGAATACATGAACACCTATGATGCCTCTCTCGGTAAGCAAGGACTCCCAAGTCATGACGCATTTTTTTGCGTTTGGAATGTATTCGTAGTTTTGCTTGGAAATTGGGAGAAACAGGGACAGCGGAGAAAAATAATTCAGAGGTGGAACAAACAAAAATAAATGAAATGACAATAGCCCAGGCATTAGAGACGTAAAAGTAGCTCTTGCTGGAAAAACGTAAAGGACTACACTGCTTACTACTGCTTACCCCCGTATTTTTAGGTCGTAGAATCCGAATTTGAAGTTTGCTGCCTCGTAGCTATGAGGCGCTTTCCGCAAAATTGAAAAAACGTTGCCAAATTTCCATTTTCCCCCCAGTTTTTGGCATATAACTTTTTTTGTAATGCAAAAATCAATTGTTTGCACGACATGAAAGAGCATAAAATTTCAAAGTAATTGGTATATATATGTTCTATTTTAGCATCAAAATTGACGGAGCTCCACCGCTTAGTTCTTACTTAAACAGGACGTATCCTCATATAACTAGCCAACAATTTTAGATTAAATCTGGCAACAACGGACTCTGCGGCCCCTTAAAATTCACCAGATGCCTTTTAAAGGCCAAGAATACAAATTACGCAAACAATTATCACTTCCACATCGTCCCACGATAGAGTGATAGTAGTCAAAAAATTTGGCAAAAATAATTATTTTTTTTCAATTCCGGGATTTTGGGAACGATGCGTCTCTGCATCTCTATGAGGACTATGCTCGGTGAAATATTTAGCACTGAGTCTGTCCATGGTACTTTGGTAAAATGAGATACTCAGAAATATCCAAGGGATGGAGAAAGCCTGGTAACGCTACTCCTCCCTTGTATATTTTAAATGTGTACTTATTACAATTTCAAATTACAATTTTTTAATCGTGAACAGTTTTTTAATTCAGACAGTTGTAGAGGAAACGAAGAGAGGGAATGGCGTGGGGTTTAAATTGGACTAAACTGGATAAAAGCGCGGCTGACTGACCTCTTAGCTGATTCGAGAACTCACGAACTTGAACTGATTTACTTATCGACAGTCGTTCCAGTCAAGTTTGTCGGAGGTAATCTAGGGTCGAACGAAAAAGGAGGATCGTAATACTGTGAGCGGATCAGCTCCGAGGAGAGAGTAAAAAGTCATCATTCGGCGTAAGCACCTGTTGCAAACCTGCCACAACTTCATCATTAATGTATTGCTTCCTCTCAGAATGGCTGCCGCGCTTTCACTTAAACGTCGCTTAATGGAAAAGTTCACTCTTACTTCCTTTATTTATTCATTTCTTATGCTCGTGTGCGAAAGTTTCGATCAACATTTTCGTGGTGGCTCCTGGACCCGGGTGCCTTTACTGCGACATAAAATGCGGGGCTTGCCAGATGGATCGTCGGACCCAGGAGATACGGCCAACCGTGTACGTAACTTAAAGTAAAATCGCACTAAAATCACGTTGAGCATATCATAAAAGTCTGGAATTTACTCTTGCAACTACGTGTCTTGCATACAGTTGTAGGAACTTTGGAAGCGTTATGAGCAGAGTTTGCATCGGGAAGTTGCCGAATTTGTCATGAAAATGATGATTTTGAGTATCGAATTTGTTATACAGAAGCGGATTTGGCAAGGGTTGGCGCGCGTAAGAGCGCAGGATTGTGCATGAGAGCTGCGGGATATTTTGCATCGGACAACATTTGCATTGGACAGTACTGCCGTGCTAAGGAAGAGCGCCGTATGAACATTCGAGCGTTGCCAAATGGTTCATGATAAAACACGTATATTTGACGACATTAAAACACAAAAACATAGCCCGAATGTACGAATGAAGAAGGAGATAATTAAAACATGGGTAAACAAGGCTAAAACATTAAAAACACTAAAAGGCAGGACGTTTCGAGCTGTTACCAGCTCATTTTCAGCTGCAAAACAAACACAAAAAACAAGTAAAAAATTGAGTGGCGAGTGGACCCTTTGAGTGGTTACGTGATAACGGCTGGGGTCAGGTTGCCACTCAATTTTTTACTTGTTTTTTGTGTTTTTTTGTGTTTTGCTTGTTTATTTGACGACATTCATACATACTTCCCCTTGAAATTCTCAGATATATTAGATTAAATTGCGTACTAAATTGTCTAAAAATGATGGGAGAAATCTTCACATTTTTCCCAGTAAATTCGGTTTTTATCGAAGGAAATTTGGCAACGTCTGAAGGCTCATAAGGCTTTCTTCCTTATCACGGCAGAGAAGATGTTTGTACGGGATAGCGGATACTTGCATCGCATTTGTCTAAGATAGTGGAGGAAAATGTAATAATATTTATACAAAGTATTTTTCAGAAAACTGACGAAAAATCAGTAATTTACCGCTTCGGCACTATACTCAAAGCTGGAATTAAGTTAAAGCGTAGGAGAAACATACAAAGCGCACTCAGTATTGCATGCGACGAGCACTAGACAAATTCCATCACAACGCCTGAATGCAACTATTCGGGCTCTACGGATGTCCGTGTTGCATACACCCGATTTGAAGGCGTTTTGACTCTCCCGCTGCGCTCGCGGGCACTCGCCGCCTCACCTGCGGCCCTCAGCGGCGCGGTGCGGTGGCAGGCTGTACTGTTATTTGGACTACATTTTGCAATTTGGAACTATAAATTCTAGCTCGGTTTAAAAAAAACGTATGTGCCATTAGTTTCTCTATGCACGTAAGAGTTTTTCCAGAAGAGTCAGAATTTATAGTTCCAAATTGCAAAATGCAGTCAATTTAGGATCCGAAATGATAAAGCGCCTTCAATTCTTCGTCAATACGACGAAGACATCTCTTAAGTATGAATTATTGTGCCTAGGCGTGGGATGAGAGTATCTTTGATGTGACACTTTTGATATCGCAACATTGTCGATTTTCCTAATAATTCATCGATACTTTAAATGTATGACAACGTTCCCTGCTAAAAATGGTGAGTACAAATGAGTAGAAAATCAAAGTCATATGAATAAAATTTCAATTCATATGAATTGAATTTCAACTCATATGAATAGAATTTCAACTTATATGAATAGAATTTAGCTCACATGAGCAGAATTTCTCTATTCACTTTTCGCCGACTCATATGACTAGAGATTCCAACTCATATGACTGGAGATTTCAACTCACATGAGTTCAGCGTTGAATCTACCGTGTCCGATATCTCAGAAACTAGTCACCGCATCAAAAAAAGTATAAGAACAAAATATTCTTCTTTTTCAAATTTACATATACGGTCGGTGCCTCCTGGTTAAAAACACCACTTTGGAAAAATGAAAATAATTGAATTCATATGAGTTGAACTTTTCTACTCTTATGAGTAGAAAATTCTAGTGATATGAGTAGGATTTCTACTCATATAAGTAGGAAATTCCACTCATGTGAGTCGGCGAATTTTGAATAGCCTACTCATCATTTTTAGCAAGGTTGCGGGTCCTCAATTTTGCAAAAAACTAGGTATCTGAGCATCATTTGTAAAGTTGTTTTGATATTACTTCAACGAGTCATCCTTTGTTTGTATTTTTTTTGTTTTCCTGCTGGAAAAATAATTTTGATATTTAAGTGCAAAATTTTCAAAGAACAATCCTGATCAATCACAACGGAATTTGGAATAGAAACGATAACCATTCGTCTTTCGAAAAAATGAAATGCTCCTGGAAATCTGTATTATCATAAGCATAAATACACGTATATGATTTTCAAGTCTCATTGGAAAAACTGAAGCGAAATAGGTCTCGTAAATATGTTTGTAAAAATTATATAATGTTCTGCTCTTCCTTTTCTAAAATGTAGGATGCGGCGCCTACACTTGGACCACGTTTCGCAATAAGGAACCACTATCTCTAGCTTTTCCATAAAATCACTTTTCTGGATGGGAAAACAAGTGGCATATTTGTTGTTTCATATGTCACTGGGTTCCCTATGCAGAAAGGTGCTTCTATGGAAGACTTAGAGATAGTGGCTCCTCATTGCAAAATGTAATCCACTTACGAACCCAAGAGAAACGAATGCGACAGTGTCGTTTCATGGTATCTTCAGGGAAAAATCTCGGAGCGCGCATCTGAAAATAATCGTTTTCGTGGAAGAGAGAGCGGAAATAATCTTAAACTCTTTTCACAACACTGTCTAAAAGTTCCTGCAACCGTATGTAAGAGTCAGAAAATCTCGTCCCTTTTTTTATTTCAGTGACATTCGACGATAATTAGTTTATAATTTTCTCCAAGAAACTTTCTCGGTTTTTGTAAAGTCCTTCTTAAACTCAGTTGTTTTGTTGGCTTCGGTATACTTCTAATGTAATATGTACAATGTCTGACTTAATGATGTTACAGATGACGAGTTCGGGGAGAAAGCGGTGTCAGTGTTACTCGATGGAACTGAGTCGGAAATGGTTTTCATAGATCATCCAGCCTCAGAAATGTCGGTCAGTACATTCTAACTACAGCTCCATTTTTAACTTTCAAACTTTCACCATCGAAGAACTGAAGTATACACAAGAATAGCAAACTGCATTTTATTTTAAGTCTCGTAATTTTGAAAAATACTTCAGTAAAATTTTTATGCGCATGGCTTAGTGATCCTGTCCTCTAGAGTTTTCGATGTCAGAGGAAATAAAATGGCGAAGTATCATACAAAGGTAAACCCTACTACCTAGCGCCGCGCCGTATGTACCATGGGAGTTTTGCTTGGCTTTTGTTGCACAACTGTGCATCAATCTGTGAATTAAATTAGGGTATTGGGGGGGCCCTGGTTTAAATTGGCGCTAGGAGCTGCGTTTCAAAATACCATAGGAGTTCTTATAGCCGACTGAAGAAGGCGATTGAAAATCATATAGCTGGCTATAGAAAGTGGAAAAAATCATACGGCCGGGCTACACGAAGCGATAAAAAATTATACAGCCGGGCTATAGTTCCTGTCGCCGGGCTTTACACTTTATCGCCTGGCAGTTGCTTTTTCGCTATCGGCTGTAAAAGGCTACAAGAAATTGTGTAGAAATTCGTGTGCTTTGTAAATCCTTATGTTTGTACGGAATCACCTTAATATTCACAAAACGCACATTATATTTTCCTTTACTACGTATTTTTTTTCATCAATTAAAATGAGAATAATCCATACAGAGTGTGCAAAAAGTGCAAAAGTAAGTGTGTGTCATTTTAAAGTCATGAGCTGAAAAACGCTGACTCCACGAGATTAAATATTAGAGCCTAACACAGAGCGGGGCGGCGGCGCACTGGCGCCTACAAACCTAACAGGGATACTTCCCGCATTGTCGCCAATGCGCGTTTCGCGCTGGCTGCCCGCTCGCCGCGCCGCGCCGCAGCGTATCACGGCGCTTGAAGCAACTATTTCACACCAGAGGTATTGCACAGTATCATACGAAATTGAAGGCGCTCCAACATATTAGGAATGGCAGGCATCCTTCAACAGTACAGAGCTTTCCTCGCAAAATAAATCAAGAATCTTTGGCCCAAAAAGAGAGCGGTAGTCCAAAAACTCACTAAGTTCTAGCATCCGTAATTAGTAACGTTTAGCATACACTTTATCGCCAGGCTGTTGCTTAATCGCCATCGGCTGTAAAAGGCTATGGGAAACTGTGTTGCCGGCTATAGAAGCTATTGAAAATCTTACAGCCGGCTGTAGGTCTATGGTATTTTGGAACACAGATTCTACTGCCGATTTTTACCGGGGGGGGGGGGGGAGGGGGTGAGCGTGACAGTAAGAAGGAAACATGTCGGTGGCCAAAGTGCGAAACCATGTACCTCTGTTTGTGACGTTGCATACTTCCTTTCATACTTTATTATTTCTTTGGAACATTTTAGTCAAAGTACCTATTTCTTGAAAACTTCCTTGATTTTTCCTTTCTGTCGGCAGAATATTCTGTATAAATTTTGTGCTACAACAGGGGGTTGGCTTATTACTCTTCGCAAAAATAGAATAGGTACGGAAATTTAAAAGCAGCGCGGCACTGGAGATACGTGATTTTGGCCATGGGTACTCTCGAGAACTACCCCGTGTAAGCCAGCCCTTCGACCCATGCATTTAAAATCATTACTCCAAGGAAAATTGTTTCCCCCTATTGATCTTGGGCTTTGTTTACCCGTCAACTAACTTGAGCAGTTTTTTGTTCACCTATACTTGCAATTCGCACTCCTGTAGACTAAAGGAATCTAATTTTTGAACTGATAGAAAATATTTGATAGGGCATGAATCAGTGAAACACTACTGAACTGTAAAACAAATTATTTTTAAGAAGAAAGCTCTTAACGACCTCAATTCAGAGCAAGGGTTTCCTCAAAATCTTGAACCGTTCAAAAGTGATGAAGAGACTATAGTGTTAATTTTCATTTGACCGTCTTAGTCGCCGTTTGGGGGGGGGGGGGGGGTTAAAAATTTAACCATGCGTCCCAGGCCTTGCTATTCAATATCTGAAATAATGAGGAGTTTTAATGAGAGACTTAGTCCTCCTTAGGGAAAATAGAGGGGAAATAGGGAAATTCCTAATAAAAAGAAAGTCATTAAAGAGAATACCGGCGTAAATTTTGAAAATTGATAGGTAAGCCGGAATTTGTTGATGTAATAGCTTTTTCAACAGTCTTTAATTTTAATTTTAGCTTATCTAGTCATTATAAATAATTTACAAATTATCTCTTGGATCTAATAGAGGTTATCATGTTCACTTTTTGTGGGCACCGAATTCTATATTTAGAGTGAGCTCATTTAGTTCGATCCCAAAATCGGATTTTGGGAATTCTACGAAAAGGTCGATAGAAATGATAAGATTTATAAGATTGATACGGATGATAAAAAAGCCCAGATATATCTTTCTGTATGACGTCATCATCAACGAGTTAAAAAAGATGAAAAATTACAAAGTCCGAATGAACCGCGTCAAGCTAAAACCAAGCCGAGTCAGTCATTGCCATTTATTCGGGCACTTTAATTGTTAACGTGAAAACGGTTGTGCACATTTTGGTGCAAATTTCAGTGCTGCATAGTACGAATCAAATTCTCTAAAATTTTCAAAGAAATCCGCACAAACGTTCTTTTGTAAAAAATTAAATCGCCCTGTTTAATTTGGCAATGGTCTATGTAGCTTCGTTCCTTTCTGCTAAACGCGGTCCAAATTTGAATGAACGGAGGCAATTCAAAGTCCTGATAGTGACGTCTTAGGTGCGGATAGTGATACGTGGCATAAACAATAAACATATCATTTTATTGGTAATATAAAGGCCCGTTATTAGAGGAAAAAAAGGGGGAAAATACACATAGATTTAAGAACAATCGTTTTTCTTTGATACTTTCCAAAGAGTTTACAATAATGAATGTTAAACTGACAATTATTGGAGCACCGTAACCCTTTTTCTCATCTTGTTCTGACTATGCACAGCCGAGTAGAGCTGCTGAGCTAAGGAAAAACGCCGTATGAACGTCTAGACGTTGTCATATCTCTTTCAATGAAAAACGTATTTACAAGGAAAATTGTGAATATTTTTCTTCAAAGTGTTGGGACAATTTTGCTCGTAATTTAATCTTACATATCTGAAAATTTCAAGAGAAATGGTAGAAAACTTCCCTCACAAATACGTGTTTTATCCGGCGAAATTCGGTAACACTCGAATGTTCATACGGCGTTTTTCCTTAGCACGGCAGAGAGGGAGGTGAATCCGATGCGCAGTGGAGTACCTCCATTTTTCGGGGGAGAGAATATAATCTGAAAAGTTATCCCCGGACGCATTGTTATTAAATCTTGCGTAAGGTCATGAATATTCATGACCAGACGAGAACATCCACCTAATTTAATTTTAAAAAATCGAGGACTAAAATTAATGGAGACTGTTGAATATTTTGACTTAATTATTTAGGAGCGACTCCGTGAAAGAGTTTCCTCGACATAATTTTTTCTGCTTGTTATCACATCTCATTTTAATTTTACCTGGCGGAAGAAGGGAGAAAAATTATTAAAACAAGCAGGAGAAAAATTCTCTAAGCCAGTTTTAACGCTGTGAAAATACGCTTTGTGTAGATGACTGAAGTTACAAAAAGAAGAACAAGCAGAAGAAAAAGATGACTGAAGTTGAAACACAGCGACGTCGCAAATCGCTGCTCTTGTTTACTTATTTATTTATTTATCTATTTATTTATTTATTTATTCATATCTTCTTTTAAAAAAATAAACCGACCAACATTTGTGACACTCTCTGTGAATTGTGCTCACTTAATCTTAGATATTCACCGGAAGTTTCAAGGAGACATTCTCGTTACTTGCCGTCCAAAAAATAAGACGTAATCGGAGTTTTTTTTAACGTCGAAATGGCGCTATACAATGTAGAGAGATACAATTTTATCATCGAACTTCTTTGGTTCAGGTGATCGGAGTTTCCGGTCATAGGAATCAATGTCCGGTAAAGCTCAAAGTTCAGTTTACAATCGAAAAACTTCAGTATGAACCAAACTTTTTTCCTCCGAGGATGCATTTTTGTCAACTGTGGACATCGATTTGTTTAATTGTTATTGTAAGACTGTCCCGTGTCCCGTAAAAGCTTTGTCTCGCGCTTTCTTTTCGGAATATCAAAACAGGGAAGGCAAATAGACATTAAAAGGAAATAATGCGAAAGGGATAAAAATGTGCATCTGCAAAATTGTGACGTCTAAAATAATAAACTTTTCAATTAATTACTTTCCTGAAACTCTTGTTGTACCTATTTTTATTGATCGTCACGCAAACATGTAGGAGATTTCTTCGTTCGAAGAATAGCCGTACAGAGGACATGCTTTAGACGTTAGCAGACTCAATATGATGAGAAATAGTTTAATTTACAAAAGACAAACCATTTATGCAAACTTAAACTAATAAAATATTATGTTCCTTCAGAATCTAGGATGTCAAAAATGCGTCTGGTGATTCTTAGATGCATTGTTTGACTGTCCGGGCTGTGAAGTTTTCATTTCCAGGATGTAAAATAACAAACTAGACACATTTATAACGACCGATGCCGTGTTATTATTTTATTTTTTTCGGTGTAGCTTTAGTATTGGAAGCCGAATGATACATCTCGTTTGTCAAATTAATGAAAGTAATGAAAATCAAGCACTATAGAGGTGAATCCGTATTTCGCACGGAGCGTTACATTATGCGCTGAGCAGAGAACATTCCTTGCGGTAAATGTTTTATCAATTACGCCTAAATAATATTGACAAGTGAATGAAAAAAGAAGTTTAATCGTAGGAAGCCAAGGAATGCGCTTTGGCTACTCTCCTCACTGCTCGATAGCGTGTATCTCATTTAGTTAAGTTCGCCTTCAATAATCGTGATGGCAATATGAGTGGCGTTGGAGCACGAATAGTTGCGCGTAGTGGTTCTGTCACGTATGCACCGTCCCGGCAAGGAACACACGTTGACTAGTCAAAATCGATGATGTTGTC